TGTAAATCTCTTGCTAAAAAAATAGCTTTATATATTTCTAGAGAATTTGGTTCAAGATATCCCACAGTAGTAGAACTTAGCATTAACGCAACAAATGCTAGCAAGAAAATGATGGTAAAAGAGTGGGTTTATAGAGAAAATGTTTCTGTTTCTTTGCCAAATATATTTGATAGATTAAAACTCTCTTCATATTTGGGAATGGATACAGCAACTTTTGTAGTTATTGACAAGCCTGAATATGATTTGGTTTTAGGTAATTCATGGATAACTAGGTTGGGATATGATATTGATAAACAGGATACAAGATATTAAGAAAATAATGAAGAGAAAAGACTTTATTATATAAGAAATGATATTAATATACTGTCTCTTTCGTTATATACATTCCATGAATTAGTATTTTTTAGTTTTACTAAGATTAAATTGGATGGAGAAGTTATAATAACCAAGTTTTTCAAATATAAATATAAATTTGATGGTTTAAATAAATATTATAATTTGGATTATACTAAAACAGAATCATCTAATAATTCTTCTGATATTGAAACTGAATTAGAAAATAAAGTTATCTATAATAATGATATACACTCTTTGATGATTATAGATATACCTAATAGCCTAAACAATTTTATTAATATATTTAGTGACTTTCTTAGACAGAATTGTGAAGCTAATAATAATTTTATTTCTGTATTTTTCAATCAGAAATTAGTATAATGCTCTTTGGCCAAGCAATAGTACTCTACTAATCTAACTAATCTAACACTCTGGAGTGGTGAATAGTTATTACATCAACCTAGACAAGAGTTATGTTACTATACTGATAAATATTTCCAAAAGTTCTGATAAGCCTTTCATTATGCAGTTCTGTGAGTTATTAATAAAAAAAAAACATATCCTGATTTATATGCGAATCATAAAACAGGGTATCGTTAAAAAGAAATACAAAAATAGAAATAGAGTAATTATAATCTATAGTTATGAATAAACAAATTACCAAATCCAAAATTAGTATTTTGTGAATCATTTATAGCCAGTAGATCGATTAGTTCTTGGTTCGTACTAAATAATTCTAAATAAACAAATTGTCAAATCTAAAATTAGTAAAGTCAAAGACTTGATACTATATATCATCTAATTTTTTTTAGTTATAAAGGGTATGCTATAAAATAAGCTAAGTATAATAAAAGTTTGTTATAAGAAACTTATCTGTACTTGCTTTGCTAATATTATTATATCCCTTATTAATCTTCAAAACCTCGCTCTTAATATTTTAAAAGAAACAAAATATAACATAGTACAAAATATTGAAGTTACAGAATTGCCACTATGTGAAATATGTAATAAAAAAATTTTAACAGTTAGCTTTGAATTTTTTACAATACTTTTATATAGCTATATATATCATAAAAAATGTATTGAAAAAAATTTTTTACTTATGAAAGAAAGCAAATATCTTATTTCTGATTGTGACAAAACTGTTGATTTTGTAATATCTGAATGAAGATTTTTTGAATCATCTTAGTTTAGTAAAACTTTGGCTATTGCAGATATATTAGACAATAATCTTGGATTAGATTTACCAATCTATACATTACTATTATTTGAAAGTGAAACACAAAAAAAGCATGTTGGTGAACCTACCAATAAATCATTCAACAAGAAAGCAAAAAAGCAAGTTTCAAAAAAAGATTCTTCTATACTAAAAAAATTTATTAAGGAATTAATATCAGTAGTACCTAAAAATTCTAAAAATTCTAAAAAAAAAAAAGAAGTTAATGAAAATACAAATAATTTTTTATACCATTATAGCCAAATTATACAGGCTGAAACTAAAAGTGAAATAGCAAATAGAGATGTAATTAAATGTTACTTTAACTTTGGTGTGGTTTTAAAAAAATGATTTGATCATTATTGTCTAGTGCAAAAATATAGATACACCAATCTACTTATAATAAATTTTTTTTTTCAAATTTAATATAAATATTTAAATAGCTTTATTTATTATGTAGATTTTGAGAAATATTTAAATATAAAATTTTATTAAAATTTTATAATTCTATAAAAAATTTTATTAATCACTCATTTCTTTAATTTCAAAGTCTTCATAGTCACTTTTGGCTAATAATACATTGTTATCCAAATTTTTATACTCTATAGCCTTATTAAGTGATTTTTTCCAAAATCTAACAATAACATTAGAGATGACCTTTTCTTTAAAAGTATGCAATAATTTGTTTCTTATTACTAGAAGATTCGGGTAGGAACTGGTTCTGGCAACTTTGTCTTTTACAATTGACCAAACTCCTTTAATCGGTTGAAGTTTATAGTGATAAGGTGAGGTTTAAAACAAATTGTGTCCAAATTTTTTAGCTATCTGAATACAAGCAAAAGGCACACTTTCCTTATTCGATTTTACTAATTCATATAGTTCTGCTTTGCTAGAATTTTCTGGAATATTAATACTAGCTGACAATAGCTATGTGATCATTGCATTCTTGTTCGAGTTTGATGTTGGCACTTGTACAATTTGATGTTTGTGGTAGCAAGCACTATCTATATAAATGTTCGCTAGCTCATAGTGTTTTTTAATATTATTACACAGTTTTTCAAAAAGATCTTCAAAGATTTCTCCTATAAATTACCATGATAGTCAACACAATCTACCATGATGTTGAAGTTTCAAACAACTTCAGAAACATCATTCCAATCATCCGAATTTGCTTGTTTTCTTCCTTTGGATAATGGTGGTTTGATTGATGGGTTCTATATTAAAATAGAGTTAGGTATGACTTTGCTATAAAGCTTGTTAGAATTACTATTACGTATTATCACTATGGTGCCAAAAATAACAATTAAGAGCCCATGCCTCAGTGAGTATACAATTTCATGACTTGGGACCCAAGTAAAACCTGTAGTATGATGGAGGTAGCAGTAAAATTCATCCAAGAAAACTTTGAGCCTTATTGAAATCTTATTATTTCCTTCTAAATTTCTGAATCTATGCCACAAATAGCAACTACAAAAGGCAACATTTGCCGGCAATTCAGGCAACATATTTCATCATTTACCACACCCGAAATAGAACCCCAATATATGGAGTATACGAAGTAACTGCTACTTGAAAAATTTATAACATTTTCTTCAAGTTTTTGCCATAATATGTACATTGAAAGTGGGAAACCAGAAGTGTTGGCAGACAGAATAAAGATGTAAATAAGTTCGGAAACATCAATGTCAAGTTTTTTTTTGGCTGACCCAGCTTTTTTTGTACCGGGGGCTCCTCATTTTTTTTTTTTTTTGCTTAGCAATGACACATACAACTGTTGCCTCCCTGATACCAAGTACAGTGACAATCTTCTTGCGTAATGGCATGTGCTGATATTTAGATAAGCATTGTTGGGCTTCCAAAAAGTATTGGTGAGCATTAAAAATCATCTTTCATTCATTGTTAGTTAATAGACTTTGATCTCTATGCAAGTTGTCCATGGAAAAAAAAAAATCAACAAGTTTGCCAAAAATTTAAAGTTTGAAACTATTTTTACCTTATATATTATTTGTACACTCACATAACTTGATTGTAGAGTTTTCAATCAAAGGCAAAAATCAGGTAATAATTTTCGTGTATCTACATAATCATTGAAGTTTTAAAAAAAGATAGTAAAGTTTGATTATTACTATACTACATTACTGTACTAGTAATATAGATATCATATCTAAATTTATAAAAATTATATATAATATTAACTATCAGATTCCACTTTAATTAATATTAATAAAACTATTATTGTTATTTTATTTTATGCATGTTAACTATTAATTGAGCTAATTAAGTAGATCACAATCATCTATAGTTATATCGGCATAATAAAAATTTCTAGCCACATATATATTATTTTTTGTTAATATATAAAAATAAAAATAAAAAAAAAACAAAATTATATCAAAAAATGGCATATCTTTAAAGGTTGGAAGCACAGGTGTAGGATTTGTGATAAATACAATCATTATTCACATCTATATTGCAAAACATGCAAAAAGGTGATAAACAGAATATATAAGCGATATGAATACGATAATTCTCAAATAAATTGTCATTAATATGTTAGAATAAATTCCACATTCATATAAATTTATCTGTACTATAATAAGCTTATAAGGCTTATTATTATGTATAACTTATGTGAAATAACTAAAAAGTATATACAAAGTATTAGTTTTAATTTTTTCTCAAAATAGTATCCCAACCCAAATTCAGACAATAATCTCATAACATATATATTATTTGTGCAACCAAATCTTTATATAAATTTTTTTGAATTTTGTTTATAATGTTTATAGAAAAAATAATACCAAGCTTTAGATCCACTTCAAAGCCAGTACAAAAACTTATTTTTATTCTAACTAAACACATATGTACTTCATTTTATAACTTTAGTTTAACAGCTTTAGTTTAACTAAAGGCTCTTCTAGGTAGTCAAGTGAAATATAATATTTAGGAGAGTGACAAAAATCAGGTGATTTTTTAGGAGGGAGGGGGTAAAAAAAGTTAAAATTATATATAAAGACCTGATCAAATATATAATAAGAAGGGGGAAGGGAGGGTATGTCTCTGATAAAAATAAATCAGGTGATAAATGATACTGCCCTTAGCGATCTTTCTCTACGCTGTAATGCTGAAGATATCAAGATCTCCAATACACATTCCGCATGTCTAGAGATACTCTATAACAAATATAATGTAATGTCAAGTGTAAAGATTGGAGTAAAGTGCATATAAGGCTTTTTTTCTTTGTTGTCTTCCCTCTACGCTACTATTCAAAGAAGAGTAAAACTCATTTATAAAGGGCATTATAGTAAAAATATTATTACTTATTGCTTTTTAGTAATTTTGTTTTATTTTTTCATTACTTTTAATTAATATTTTTTTTTAAACAATGATTTTTGAAATTAATGAATCTTTCTGTAGTAAAGAAGAGACTGTTACTCTTGCAGTATTAATTGTAGAATTTCTCTATATAAGAGGATTGAAATTCAAAGTAGATATTATCAAAGGCCTAAGGAGTATTGGTGCTAAAGTAATCCATAGAGGGTAAGTTTTTCACTGAGTTATTTGTCAAGTTGTTGTATATTCAAAGTTTATGCTGTCACATCAGTATAAATATCTAGTAAAAAATTAAAAGCACATCATGGCCACCATTTTTAGTAATGAATATTCTTTCTTTCTAGTTTCCAGTATTTCCAAGCTTGTCTAAACAACTAGAAATTCATGATAAATAGGATACACTCTAACATTGAAAGCACTGACATAGAATATTACATGTGTGTAACTTCTTTAATTAGTTGATAATGATAATACAAGTACTCATATTTTTTTTAAATTTAAGAGATTAGATAACGAGGACATTGATATAATATATGAAATTGCTAGAACCTGATTCATAATTCAATGCAAAAATTAGATCAAAACCAATATAGGTATTATTATATTAAATCAGATATTTGGGTTAAAAAATTCAATTATTAATATTAACTATATACACAAGTCACCTAGTTATTGATGAGTTGCTTGGGGTACTTACTAGAACTAAGCAACCAAAAGGAACTATTGGCATTGTAGTGGGCCTAACTATGGGTAATTTTACACCTGACAAAATAACTACAGTGCTAGAAATCGCAGAACCACCAGAGCTATCGGAACTATTAGAACCATTGGAACAACTACCTACGTATCCTATCTTTGTAACAGATATAAACCGATTGCCCAAATATTTGAACAATGTGGTTTTTTATGGTTGCATAACGAACTTTATACCTTCTTCCTCTTACTATAAATTTGTTTAATTCATTGTATATAGTTTTTTTTCTTATCGTTGTTTTATTTATTGTATATATTTTTTTAACTTTCTTATTGTATCAATAAAGCTAGCTCTGATGGCTGATTTCATATACATAATCACATTTACTTTTGTGTGTATATTTCAGAAATTTATTTTGTTGTAATGATATCAATATCAGTGTTGGGCTGACCAGACCAATTTGACCATTTGACCAGACCAATTTGACCAATTTGACCGGTCCGGTCAAGGGATCTGTACTGGTCAAATTGGTCAAATAGAATATTTAAATATAATTTATTTATAATATATATATTATATTTATATAATAGGCTTGACCAATTTGACCAGTTTGACCAATTGACCAATTTGACCAGACCAATTTGACCAGCAAATTTTTGGTTGACCACTAATTTGCCCAACACTGGTCAATATATATTAACTCGTGTTTAATCGAGGATTTTTTCACGCAAATAAATAAAATTTTTTATTAATAGTAGTATAATATAACATGAAAAAAATAAAATTTCCTCCAAGATTTTGGAAGATATATTTTAAATCTATAGATCTATCTTACATTACTGAATAAAATATACCACTATAATCTACTATAATCTATTTAAAAAGATGTTGACAGATTTTGATAAAGTCTGTTATCACTGCTTTTCTTTTATCTGGTTTAGCAAGATTTAGACAAGTCTCTTTACCATTTTCCTTTGGCCATCATTTAATCATAATTGACTACACTTTTGGCAGTTGTTCACTAAGTTCCTCTCAATATAATATGGAAATTTTAGCTCGATAAAATGTAACATAAGTAGAAATGACGTGGAAGGCAAAAAGTTCTTAATCAACATAATTATTAATTATATTCTTATATCTACAGGCAAGCATTTCAGTAGCGATTTGCCATTCTCCAAAACCAGTCATGGGGTAGATTTTTTTATTTTTCAAGTATTTATTCTGTTTAAAAAGCTGTCTGCGTGAATTATAATAATTGAAATTTATCAAGTATCAAAACATAAATAATACCACTATACCTATCAAAGCAATTTTTTTCTTATTAATTACAAATTTAGGTTCTGCTGATTCAGACTCATTACTCGTGATTAGTTTGAAGGGTGGTTCAATTTTAAGATTTAAAACAAGAAAATTTAGAAGTATTAAAGGCACCACACAAACAACATGGTTAGATTACTCACCTAACTTTAAAAGGCCAAGTATTCAAGTTAACTACATTAAGTAGCAGATCATTTATTAGTGTATCAGTTGTAGATTCGCTTGTGCCTGTATTAAGACCTGAATTCTTGACAACATCATGCAGTTTATCGACAAATGTTTTGACATAGTTATCCTCAATTTCAAGACTTTTAATATTGAATCTTTTAGAGACAAGCAAATCGTGATTGTTTTTAGGGAAAATGTAATATTCTGGAATAATGACTAGACAATATTTAAATTATTCATTATACTAGGAGATTGTTAACATAATATAATAATATTATTTGTACCTTCAACATTAGGTATAACATCATACTTGTTAGCTAACTCAAAACTTACTCATAGTGCATCAAGATGTTATTGTTTAAACACAGACATATAAAGAGAGAAGAGTCTGCCCAACCCATCACTAGGAGAGAGGTTATATATAGGCATATCTTGTCTAGACCTTTTTTGTGAGGTTAATGAAAAGATTTTTAGATATTTTAAAATATGAAGAAAAATTTGTTAGGGAAAAATTGCAAACATATACTGTGGTAGATAAAAAATCTTAACCTGGTATATATATCAACTACTCCAAGAGACTACCAATTTTTTTAGGTACACAAAATTTTGACCAATAGAATTAGCTGCATATGTAGTTCACTACATAAATTTTAATCTTCAAATAAAGATATCTTGATAACTGCCAAACAAAATTTGATGAATTTTTTTTATTTTGATTCAACAAGTATGCGAAATCAAAATAAAAAAATTCATCAAATTTGGATTGGTGTTAGTTGAGATATCTTCATTTAAAGTTTAGAAAAATTCTATTATGACTTGAATTTTAATAGATTAATTTGTTGATAAACTTTAAACAAAGATATCTTGGCAACCACCAAACCAAATTCATTGAACATTTTTTTATTTTGATTTTATATATTTATAGAATCAAAATAAAAAAAATTTTATCAAATTTAGTTTGGTAGTTGTTGAGATATCTTCATTTAAATTTTAAAAAAATTCTACTACAGCTTGAATTTACTATAATGGTTTAATTTATTGACAAACTCTAAACGAAGATACCTTGACAATCACCAAACTAACTTCGATAAAACTTTTTTTATTTTGATTCTGTATACTTGTAGAATTAAAAAAAATTTTTTTATTGAATTTAGTTTGTTGGTTATCGAAAAATCTTTGTTTAATTTTGTCAATAAATTAAACCGTCTATTACAGTAAATTC